TATATATATATATATATATATATATATATATATATATATATATATATATATATATATATATATATATATATATATATATATATATATATATATAAGCAAACTTTGTCTCACTTAGAATGCAACTATCTTTCCCAGTTTATAGTTTCCCAAATTGTTGAATCATAACTATTGAGCATACTGGAGATAAATTATGAGAATTGTAGAGAGTTCAGAATGGGAGAAAAAAGGATACATTGATCTGTCTCACAACTGAGCAAAAGTGACAGAGTTCATGTAGTACAGTAAAGATTTCCTTAATCATGATTAAATAATTACAATTATCTGGGCTTATAGCACATGTTTACCCAAAGCAAAAAAGTCATTTTCCTATTCCTATTCAGATATGGCAAATACTCGGAGTACTTACAAAATTTAGTCCCCTACTAACTTTACTCAAATGGTACACAAGCAAACATGTACCTGTTTGGGAAGGACATCTACTGCGGGAAAACCTTCACATTTGCAGTCATGGATAGTTTGTTTTCTGTACAAATCATGACTCTTGCATTATCACCCATCACTATGACACATACTTTGTTGCATACAAAGCCTTTCCTTTTGCAAAGAAACATGCTGAAACTATGGATATCTCTAGAAGATTGTATAATTTGAATATGTTGAATATAGTTTTTAATAGGCATTTGTCAATTGATGCTTCTAATAGAAAAGATAACAATAAAATAATATCTGTAATTTGTTAAATATTGTGCAGATAAGAAGTAAAAATCTTCATATTTCTGTTGCGAAGAATGTCTACCATATTTTGTGTATAAATATATATGACTTTTCAAAATCAATTTATGAAAAACAATTTATAAGATAGCAATTGGATTGGGTGATGATAACATTGCTAGGGAAAAACATTATTTCCTACAGACTGAAAGAACCAATTCCTAGAATTATTTGATTTGGAGATGGTTGCACAACCCCATATTGTCCATAGTTCAATGCAAAATGCTTCTGACAAAGCAACAGTAAACGAATTACTAAGGCCTATGGGTACTTCCATATTTGTATAAGAATTACAAAATTAAACATTTTTATGCGTTGATTTAAATAGCAGCAACAAGCAAAACTTATAGGATTTTCCAATATCTACAGTAGACGGGATGTTAAGTTTTTGAAGCTTTCTTATGTTCTGGCAAGAACTAATCCAAACAACAATTGTTATATTCATTGATTATCCTTTTGATGAAAGCTGGGTTTCATTTCTCTCTATTCACTAATAAAATCAAAATGCGGCTGCATTTTCCAAATCTCCGTGTATGACTTCTTCGCTTTTTTCATTTCCAGCTCAGTGGCTTCTATGGGAAGTTGGCGTGGCTTACTGGTTGGCAGGAAGAGGGTTAAAACCATAGAGCTGGAGCTGTCAAGTAAAGCGGAGGCGGGAGACAGGATAGACTTGAGGGGTGCTTTCCTGTGCTTGAACCCGCCACTGCCTACACACGGGCACGGGAGTGGCTCTTTCCCAGGCCTGCAGTTGGCAAAGGCGTGCAAACCCCGCTTGGATTCCTTCAATAAGAATGAATCGGTGAGATTCTGCAGACAGACCCAAGGTGGAGACCGATTTATGGGGAAAAGGACGGGCAGCACGTAAAGCATAAAAACATCCATTTATGGGCGAACGCCTGTAAGAAGAGCAGCTCCATCCACCGCCTCCATTCACTCTTCGTCTCCCAGAGTAGTTCGCAGCGAGGAGGATCTGCCGTGGAAAGTCCTGTCTATATTTCTCTTACGGCTTTTTCTCTCTTTATTTTATCTATTTCTGCGACGGGAGCATGATTGATATTGAGCACGATTCATTACTATACTTGTGTAGCATAATGGACAGTATTGGCTGTTACCTGTTTCGTCTAGGTTGTAGCTATAACGCAAACCTAGAAAATACAAACACTGATTTCTTTGTAAGGGTTCATAGAAATGTTTCATTTCTTGTTCATAGAAATGTTTCATTTAATTCTTCCACATTCTTTTCCTATTAGCCATGTAAAATTTAATTTATATTATGTTTATTTTATTTGTATATCAAACCTTTATTATTTTTATAAATAATTCAAGGAGGAGGATACCCCTTCATCCTATTTTCCCCACAACAACAACCATATGAGATGGATTGGGCTAAGACAAGGTGACCAGCTCAAAGTCACTCAGCCAGCTTTCATACCTAAGACAAGACTAAAATTAAAGGTTTCCCAGTTTCTGGCCTGGTGTCTTAACCACTAGATTAAATTTGTTAAGAAATGCTTTTGCTTATATAACTATATACAGAAGGAAAGTATTGAAGTCAGGTTAAGACTGTGTAAGCAATATTATTGAATGCTCTAGGAGCAGAATGATGGTATATAAATTATACAAATAACTGTTAAATATTAATCAAATGAGCAATATTCTAAATTCTCAGGTACACATTTTTCTATCTGAAAACTCTGAAATGTAAAACAAAACAAGTTATCTATTGAACTTATATCTCTTAACAATACTGTATCATGTAAAAAAAAATCAGAGATATAACTACAAAGAAAGTGGTGCCAAATTAATGGTAACAGTGCAATATTCCAGAGGCTAGTATTGCAGATACCTTAAGGGAACATAATTTTCAATATATTTTCAAAAGAAATCCAAAATATATTTCTTTTAAAAAGATACATTTTCTCCAATACATAATAAAAAAATAATATTGCTCTTCTAAAATTTTGATTGAAATGTTGGCAACATAACATATAGGCAATATCAAAACTTCTTTGAAAATGATTTCCTGATTTCCTCCATTTAAGATGCAGAAAGTAATTATGGCAAATACATTTAGAACTAATTTGCTCTCAGAAAACATACTAATGCAATCAGCTACTCCTATTAATTACATTCTTATACCCTCATCCAACGAAGTTGATAAATGCTTTTTTCCTTTTTTCCCTCTCAGGGAAAACTGCATAGAATCCTATAGGTTTACTTAAAAAGAAAGCCCATCCAATCATTCAGAGGATTTTATTTTCAGATGGAGTAGAAAACTATTTGGCATATCAGACTGTCTGAATTACAATTCCAAACCTCCATCATCATTGGTTATCCTGCTGGGAGCAGCTTTTAGGCAAAATTGGACCACAAATACCTTACTCTTGCTGTCAGGCAAGTGTGTTAAGGACAGTTGCCTATACAAATGATCAGGATCAGAAGAGGTTGGCATATGATCTTTATGCAGTCATAGTCTTGTTTACTTTGTGTATATTTAAATTATAAACTGATTTGGAAACCTGTCATTTTGAAAGAAGAAAAGTGAATTGAATGAAAGATGCACCACTACAGATTAATACATCTAAATTTCACTGGCTTGATTCCAGACTTAGTCATGCTTAGAATAAATTTATTAGACTCAAGAGGACACCTCAGACATGGATCCCACTGATTTCAATGAGCCTACGCTAGGCATAGCTAAATCTGGATCCAACCAGTAAAAACAAATAATTGGGACCATTTATATTGATACTAATCATTATTTTTAATTTACAGAATTTTCATTCTCAAAGAAAGAATATTCTGAACATATAGCACCATTATAACTTATTTTAAAAAAGAAAAAACATCTGGATTATGCATATGTGAATTACAGAGCAGATAAGAATAGAATATATTTTAAAACTCCATTTGTAGTACATTGTTTCTTTTCCATCCAAATTACTCAGCTTTTGGCAGGAGCTTGTGTTTTCTTTCTTTTTTCTTTTTGAAATTCTGTTTTTCTCCCCAGCAGGTTCTGAAGGCAAAGTTATATCCCAGGATCTCAGAGATGTTTATCAAGCTTTAGAAGAAAGACAAAAGCCAGAAAATCATAACCGATAACTTAGTTCAGGGTTGAAGGAGTCTTTTGAGGTAGAGCACTTTAGCCTCGTGTCAGAGGAGCTAGCCTGAAGAGTGTCAAGACAGGGTCTTCTTTTTCCTACCACCACCACTCTCGCAAGACTGGCAACCATGGGGGAAAAGTCCCACACTTGCCCATACTGTGGGAAAGGTTTCCGGCGAAACTCACACCTTACTAGGCATTTAGCTACCCACTCTGGTCTGCAGCGCCCTTTAGGTGGGAAGCGCCTGGGACAGCAAGTGCCAGAGGAAGACCGTCCCTTCAGCTGCAGCTACTGTGGGAAGACTTTTGCCCGCAGTGCCCACCTGGCCCGCCATCAGGAGACCCATTCCGGGGAGCGACCCTACAAGTGCACCTACTGTGGCAAAGCCTTTGGGCGCAATTCCCACCTGACCCGCCACCACAGCACTCACACTGGAGAGCGTCCCTATGAATGTGGTGTTTGCGGCAAAGCTTTCACCCGCAGTGCTCATGTTACTCGCCACCAAGGAACTCACACCGGAGAACGTCCTTTCCGTTGCACACGTTGTGGCAAGTGCTTCACCCGCAGTGCCCATCTCCAGCGCCATCAGGGCATCCATAGTGGGGACAAGCCCTTCTCTTGCAGAGACTGTGGAAAGGGGTTCACCCGTTATGCACACCTTGAGCGTCACCGTGCTACACATTCAGGAGAGAAACCCTTCAAATGCGCCAGCTGTGGCAAAGGGTTTGGGGCTGCCTCTCACCTTGTAAGACATCAGAAAACTCATAAAGTTTAATGGCTGGTTTTGCACCTGCTATCATCCAAACAAGTATGAAAATTGGCCAGTATGAAGTACTTGGACTAATCCTTTGACTTTATATCTGTTTTGTCCATCTAAAATCTATTTTTAGAGGGAACTGAGTTCAACCCATTCAACAATATTTACACTTGATCTGCAGACAAATTGAGGCACTTTGAGCTTTTGCCGCTTCAGTTCAGCAGCACCCATAGCAAAAACAATTTTAGATAGTAAAACAGCAAACTATTCTAATTTTTTTCCTTTGGGAAAAAGAAATCTCAGACCTTTTCTGGTAAGAAAGATTCCCGGCTTATGCATTTATCATACCTCCCTAGAAAGTATTTCAAAATCCCCTTCCTTGTCCTACAGCATCATCTACATTGTGCAGTTATAATATAAATGTGACAATCTGAATCAACAGAAGCATCTTTTTGGAAATTCCCTTGGAATGTACTTGGAAAAATTCTTTCATCAGCTTTGGATTTTGAACCTGTGGCCTGATCATATTGTTAGAACTACGTGCCATGCTCACCTAAGAGACTAGCATTGGAATAAGGAGTTGTTGTGCCTGCATCTTGAGCTCCTCAGTAGCCTTAGCAGCAGAAAAAAATCTTACTGCATCTGAGGCCAATTCTTAAGATTTGTCTCTCTCTTCCATGCCTCTCAAAACTTTGAGGCTTGATTTGCAATCGTCTAACTACAAGTGGTGCCTGCAACACCATACTGCAGCATAGTTTATTCCTAGACCATGTAACCATATCATCTTTCAGAGATAACTCAAGTTATTTTTCCTTTCCTTTGAACTGTTTCCTTTAATAGCATGTTGGAGCACCTATGCATGCTCTGACATTGATTTTCTTTTTAATTTTATTTTTTTGAAGGGAGGAAGTTACTGCTTTTGGATTTTATTCCTAATTATTTTTCTCTGTTTTTGCAAATTTTGGTATTGTCACATGCTGATAATTTTCCACTTATTTCTCTTAGCCCCATTTGGGTTGCATAGCCATCATAAATGTGCATGTATTTACCAGCAATATTGATAGTTATTCATGTCCAGTACTAGAAATTTTTTTTATGGGAGAAGTAAGGAATATACCAAGACTTTTATCAAGTGACTTGCAATGTGAAACTGCAAATATTTCAAGTCTTTTCCATTGGAGTATACGAGTTCTTACATCTTACTTGTCTTACATCTCCCAATCCTCCAGTTTTAGTGAATCTGAATTATTTTTTTCTTTTTTATAAATAATAATAGCTAACAGTTACACTGATAAATTTTCTTGCCTAAGAGTGTTCTAGTGTAGGTAAATTAGACTCAAATTCAACAAATCACATTGTTGAAAAACTTTTGATTTTTTGTTTATTTAAACTTTCACATTTTTTAATGGAAAAGGAAGATTTTAAATAATTGCTGTCTCAACAAAAGGAGAACTGTAGAAGAAATATGGAGGCAGCTGGAACCTTTAGCAGAAATTTAAATGAATGTCCTGCTGTTCTGAAGTGCTTCAGAAGACTAGAAGAGGCAGCAGGTAGTTTTTTAGCTGGAATTCCAGATAAACTATGGCTACCCAAACTTTCTGCTTTGATCCTTTTGGGGAAACTTGCTAAGTTATCACAGCAATTTATTGTCGCTGTTGTGATTCTTATCTGCCTCCTAATCTGTGATTCTTTGAGGATGTGGGATTCCCAGAATGTTTAAAAGCTCTAATCATGCAAGAACCTGATGATTTTCTTACATCAAGGATGGCTACAGAGTGCTCACGGTCCCAATGATTGAGTTATATATGACATTTGGACATGGAAACAGCTATAGGCAACTAGGCTCTGTTGTATGGTCTGGTAATAACTTGGGTTGTGTGGAACCAGAGAAGCTCAGCAGAAAGACTGCAGTTGTGCAGCAAAATTGTCAAAAAGGATTTTCAAAAAGAAGTGGACAAATAATAGATGGGAATAATTGGAAATAAGAACTAATCACAACTTGCAAAATATAAATGATTTTACTTGATTGCCAAATAAGCAGGGCTTTTAGCCTAAGTGAACTGTATCTGAACGAGCCTTATACAAGATATGGTCAGCTACTCTGAATTCATTCTGTTTAGCAGATGGAGGAACCATTTCCTGTATATTCCAGCATTTCTTTGATGATTATCTTGATCCAGCATTAAAAAAAAACAGTTTTTGGAAAGAATATCAAGAATTAACTTTGCTATTCCTCTATGCTCTTGCAAATCTCTTATTTTCATCTATATACACTGCCTGTGATACACCAGCTCTTTATACCAGAATATGAAGAGCAAGTGGCAGTACATTTTCTTTGGCTTTCTGTGATTTGAAAGCTGCATTAAGTTGGACATTTGTTTTTCTTTCTCTCAAGTTGATAGAACGCTGTAGAAATGCTGAATCCACAAACACTACTTTATTTGCATAGTATTCTGTGTTGTAAAAATGTGTGATCCTTGGCTGCTTTTTAGCATTCTAGGAGGCAGCGGTTGCTGAACTGTTCTTGAGATATTCTCCCTTACCCTAACCTAAAACATGGAAGGACTTTCTCTTGCATTTGGGGGGAATACCCCAAAAGTGCATTTTCAAGAGGCAACTGGACTTTCTGGGGGGGTGGGGGTGTTTCCGCTTCTCATCCAAAAAGCTTCTTCAATTTTGAGCGGAATAGTTTTTTCTGCTAAAGTTGAGGCTGGTCAGTTTGAAGAATATAAGTCAAGAATTTCCAGTCTTGCTTTAGTAAATGACCATATGTTTTTCCAATTGGGATTCAAATTATTTTTTTGATAGCGCCTATTAAACTACTGTAATATGCCTGGATTCACATATTGCAGTAAGTCATTATAGCTCTTTTGTTTATTCAGGGGATAAACATGTTGGATGAAGCCAACCATTGTGATTTGTAAATTATGATTTATAGCGTAATATGTGCAAATCTTGTCACAGGTATAGTTCAGTAAAGCGTCATTGAACAAACCATGGCTTAATGGAGTCTGTGGGGACAGCCATTGCCTCCTACTGAATATTGAGCTTCTGAATGGAGTATACAGTTACTTACATATAATTCAATCTGATCATGGAGAACTTTTTATCCTCTCCATTTTGTTTCTTCTAGATTATTTGGATTAGAAAAATCCAAACCCCTATTGATCAAGATGTAATTATTTCCAGTTTATGTTTTAGAACCTTAACATCAATAGGGCAAGTTTGTCACAGCTGTCTCAAATCCCATGCCTTTGGATGGTACTAAAATCCCCTTCCCAATCAGATATTCTTCAGACATGTTGGCTTATACACATGTAATGCTCCAGCTTGCAAAGGTTATACAAGCCAGAAGACTTAGCAGGCCTGGAAGTATCTACTGAGAATAGCTGAACTGGAACACCTTTTAACAGGTAGATTACTATCATTATTCCAGTAAATCCTTTTCCTGATATAGCTTAGCCATCCCCCATATTATGGGTGCAGATTTATGCTAAAAAACAGTTAATACTTTAGTCATCATATCGATGGTACAGAAGAGAAATAAAAGTAGTCTTCACTTAACAACCACAGTCGGGACTAGCTAGCAATTTCATTGCTAAATGATGCAGTCAAGTGAGATATTATAGCACTACAACTTGTGATTTTACTGCCAGCTTCTTCATTAATTGTTTATCAGAAGCTCCCTGTGAAGTATGCAAGTGGTGATCACATTAACAGCAGGTTGCAACGGTTGTAAATGCCAACCAGTTGTGAAGCACCTGGAACTCAATCATATGACCATGGGGACACTCCAATAGCCATAACTGCAAGGACTGCTCATAAAGTTACTTTTTCACACCATCATATACTAAATAGAGCAATCCTTAAATGAGATCTGTCTGTACTGTCATGCTGTTCCTGAGCCTAAATCAAAATGCACCTATAAAAAAGAAAACCAGAGCCATGCTCATCTCTTTGAAGGCAGAAACAAAACCAAATTTGAGAGTGAAAGAGCACCATGGGATAAATGACTTTCTAAAAAGAAGGAGCCCGTTCATTCCCTAGTCTGTCCTAAAAAATATACTACTGTCTCGAAAAAAAATCTGATGAATCTTTCTTATACAATCAAGTTGTATAATATTAAAAGGAGAAAAGGAGTGTTTGGACTTGGCTGGTATTATGGAAATGTTTGAAAGAAAGAAGGAAGACTATTGATCTGGTGTTTTATTAATCTGTATACATTTTTTCATGCGTATACTGTGTGTTTCTTGTTCATAGTACAAATGCCATATTTTAGAGAAACAGAAAATAGTATTATTTCAAATAATAAGAGTACAATCTAGAGAAAACAATCAGCCAAGGACCAACTGATGTCAATGGAAATTAAAAATACAGATGAGGGGGCTACAGGGGAGATATAACATAAAGGAATGGGCTGAGCTGGTCACTTGATGATTCCCCCCCCCCCAAGATAAAAATAGAAAATGATTGAGGAATGTGAGTGGCAAAAGAAGATTATAAAATATTTTCTCTTTTGAAATGAGTGAAATAGAGGATTTATTCAAAGTGTAGTATGAATATTTTTATGTAAAAGAATGCACAAAATTGGAAGGTGATCATTCCTATGTATATAATAGACCAGGATAAGCAACTTTCAGATATTATTGCCAGGTTAGCAGAAGTTAACAGGAATTGATAGCTAAAACGTCTGGAGAGCTGTTATCTAAATGCATTTCTATACTGCCATCTTTTTGGTAGAATTCAAGCCTCTTTAGTTAGAAATTGTGAATTGTTTGGTGATATGCAGTGGTTTTGGTTTGGAAATAATCAGAAACAAATAATCTGCAACTGTTGATCTTTTGCATGTGAGTTAGATATTTTGTACAAAAATAAGAAAAGGTTTCAAGACTGTTTTCATATGATCTCTTACTTGGGATCCAGTAAGTTCATGGAATTAGGAGTCTTGACCTTGAATACATTTGCTTAAAATTTCTTAGTAACTTTCTTAAGCCAAATACTATAATTCCATGTGTTCAATTATAAATGATGTTCTTTATGTGTTTTTTTTAAAGAACATCTTATATTGCATGGATTTCAGGTATTCCCAACATTTCCAATTTTTATCTGGAAAGAAACAACTTTGTTTTCCTTCAATTCTTCCAAACTTTTGGCAATATTACAAAACATTGGTACATATGTCATTCTAACCAATATTTATATTTACATAGCATATAAAGATTAGGTATTTGATTATAATAAATTTTCTGGATATGTATGCTGAATTATGAAAT